TAGTTCCACTATTATAATATATATTAGTTCCTCTGTGAAAATAAATTAAGAAACTTCCAGATTTTTCACGGCCCTTAAAAATTGAGAAGAAATTAACTCTTGGAAATGAAGTAATATATTTACAATATTAAAATCAAAGCACTGTAAGCGCTATAGGCAGTTAACCAAAAACCAAGGCAAACGTAATTATGAAAACTGTGGCAGTGTTGCTTCATTTTCTTTTTAAAGATTTGAAAGAACAAACATTAAATATTCGTATATTGTACATGTATGTTTATTTAATGAATTGATTATTAAGGCAAATTAATTAATATTTTATCGAGGTTTTCAAAAGCAATGCATATATCAATGTATATTTTTAATGATGAGTTTGCAGTGGTACAAGTTCATATTATGATTGCAGTTGTTCTAGTTGGTAGTTAACGGTGGTACCAGTTGACTTTTAGTGGTACAAGTTGACGTAGTACGAGTTTGTAATAGTATGAAAGGACTTTCTTCCCTGGCAGGAACACTGCATTTGGGTTCTACAGCACAAAAGTTATGAGACACAAATCAGCCATCGGTTTACTACTACAGGGATCAAAGGTGAGGTCTGATTGACCTGCCCATAGTAAATGTAAATGACCCTTACCTTCACCAAGTCCATGATGTCACTCCATCCCAAGTTTGGAGTAAAATCACAGGTGATTATAAAACAGTTGGTCAAACATTCTTGGGCTTTACACTACTTGAAAGATTTATATGTTTTTTTTAAAATGAACCATAAATGAAAATTTTTATAAGCCCAGAAATAATTAAAAAAATAAGTAAAGTAAATTCAATTAACCTAGACTTATTTTTGCATCAATCAAATTTTATAATAAACAAGAAATAATTGTAACAGGATGCTGTTACGAAGTCTTCCAAACAGAGATCCCATAATTCGTCATTCCCATGGTCGCCTGACATTGGGCAAAGTCCAGTACAAATTGGTTAGGTCTAGTAAAGTGATATGCATATGTGACCCTTGGAGATTGACCCTGTATGTCATTCAAATCTTCTTGAAATGACGAACAGGAATAAATATGGTTAAGGGTTGGGTATCTCAATGTTTACAAGTTCTCAAAAGGGGGGGGGGGGGAAAGATCCCCAGGGGACTTACCCGTTATTTCATTTGATTTAGTGTATTGTCCCATACAAGAATATATATGGTTTTGGGACAGGGATCTCAACCGTTTACAAGTTTTCAAAAATAAGGGGGGGTGGGGGTGACCCCGTGGACTCCCCCTATATTTCATTTGATTTGTTTTATTGTCCAATAAATGAATATATATGGTTTAGGGGTGGGGATCTCGACTGTTTACAAGTTTTCAAAAATAAGGGGGGTGGGGGTGACCCCAGGGACTCCCCTCTATTTCATTTGATTTGTTATCTTGTCCCATAAAAGAATATATATGGTTTCGGGGTGGGGATCTCAACCGTTTACAAGTTTTCAAAAATAAGGGGGTGGGGGTGACCCCCGTGGACTCCCCCTATATTTCATTTGATTTGTTTTATTGTCCCTTAAATGAATATATATGGTTTAGGGGTGGGGATCTCGACCGTTTACAAGTTTTCAAAAAGAAAGGGGTGAGGGTGACCACAGGGACTCTCTTTATATTTCATTTGATTTGTTATCTTGTCCCATAAATGAATATATATGGTTTAGGGGGTGGGGATTTCGACCGTTTACAAGTTTTCAAAAAGAAGGGGGTGGGGGTGACCCCTGTGGACTCCCCCTATATTTCATTTGATTTGTTTTATTGTCACATACAAGAATATATATGGTGCAGGGTTTGGGATCTCGACCGTTTACAAGTTTTCAAAAAGAAAAGGGGTGAGACTGACCACAGGGACTCTCTCTATATTTCATTTGATTTGTTATCTTGTCCCATACACGAATACATACTGTTTAGGGGTGGGGATTGACCGTTTTCAAGTTTTCAAAAAACAAGGGGGGGGGGGGGGGGGGGGGTTGACCCCTGTGGAGTCCCCTATCTTTCATTTGATTTGTTTTACAGTTCCATGCAAGAATATATATGCAGTAGGGGTGGGGATCTCGTCCGTTTACAAATTTTCAAACAGAAGGGGATGGGGTGACGCTGGGGATTCCCCCAAATTTTCATTTGATTTGTTTTATTGTCCCATACAAGTATATATATGGTTTAGGGGTTGGGATCGCGACCGTTGACAAGATAAAAGCACATTTTCAAATTCAAGGAGTGGGATGACCCCCCAGGGACTCACCCTATATTTTATTTGATTTGTTCTATTGTCCTGTTATTATTACTGAAGACCGTGTGTGTCTGTCACTTACTGTTTTCAAGTAATAGTCATTTGAAAATTTAAAAAAAATAATTCCCATAGGGTTCTATAGTAAACCCCTCCCTTCTTTAGGCCCTCAAAATACCCCTAAATAGACCCCAAGGCAGAAACGAAAGATTGATGGCTCCGCTAGACATGTTAGCCTAACATTTTATGAAACCCTAAGTAAATCTGACAAGCGGTCCGAGTTGTTTTCTTAGACGGTCCGAGTGGACTCGGTCCGACTTGTCTCGGGGACGAGTTGTCCACATTTCTTAAAACATCCCATCAACGTCGATTTTCATCTTTGTCATTCAACAACAACAACTTAATTTGGCAAGTTCAGTGATGAACGGAATAATTTAACATGTTTAATAAAAGAAAGGAATTTAAATGTGCATACATTTAATTGAAATTAATTGATTAATCACAATCTTCTTATACGAAAAGAAGATCATGATAAACAATACTTACTTTATAACATCAGAATACTTACTAGCTTACGTTTCGTGTAAGTTAAAATTACTGCCACGTTAGACTACTATGTATATCTTTATTTCCTCTATCATAGAGATTTGGTGTACATGAACAATATTCCTGCGCCTTTGGCCATTCGGGAAATGTAAACGACTTGTAATTAGAGATTTTCGGCGATGAAATATTTCATACAAATTGTTCTTTGACATCTTAGCCAAAAGCACATGGGATTATAAACTACGTACGGATTTCTAATGAGCACTACTTCCTATGTGCAACTTCAAAAAATTTGGGTGGTTCGACGATAATTTAAGGTTTTTCTGGTCATATTTTTTGTATTCCAGAATTGAAAGTATGAAAAAAGTGCCCAATTAGTTATTAATAACATATTAGCCAGCTAGATAATAACAATAGCACTTTTTACACCATTCAGTGGGAAGAACACAAATCTAGGGTGGTAGCATAAGGCAGCTTAACTGCCTAAAAATCTACATGTAATATCAACATTTATTAATGATAAAGAAAATTACTGTCACATTTTATTGGATTTTGACATGAAAATTTGAAAACAAAAAGTAATTTTGGGTTTCTGTGGTTGCTTTTTCTTTCTTTTCAATATATCTTTTGGTTTTCAATTCTAGTGTTTATATTTCATCATCATAGATGTATTTTGTCACCTGCCTATAATTATTTTTTTTTCTTTGTATTGATCGGCAAACCCGGAATTACCCTCATCCGCTCCGGAATCTAAACCGATATTGTAATTGTCTTCATTTCCGGTTTATGGCATCCATTGTTTTTCAATGTTGCTTTTATCAGTCAGATACAATTTTACTCGTATTTACACAATACGTGTTGGCGATTTTCGGTATAAAGCTAGCGGTTGAACAAAATGAACATCACTGTCATGAATAATAAAGATGTAAATAAATTTTGAGATCACTTGGAAATTTTGGTTAAAAGGTCAGCAAAGTTAAATTTTATTTTATTTCAAATCGAAGGTCCGTCGGGCTTAGCTAGTAACCTAAACGAAAGTCTGATTGCAAAAGTGGAAGGTCGCAGACCTCGGACCACCGCTAATTTGAACCCCTGAAGGCAAGGTGGAGTTAGGATACCATTGTGAAGTCATGGAAAGCAAGGTTAGGTGGAGATAGGATATACCATTGTGAAGTCATGGAAGGCAAGGTTGAGATAGGATACCATTGTGAAGTCATGGAAGGCAAGGTGGAGTTAGGATATACCATTTTGTTTTTATATCGGGTTATAATGACCGTCTGCAGTCATCGGAGGTCACCTCAATGGTTAATTAGATGACTAAAATACATGAGAAATGCTGATACATATTATCGAGCCCATGCATTGTAAATTGTTTATTTTAGACTTTTTATAATTTAGATATACATCTTAGTATGTTATAAATCAAATATGAGAATTTGAGTCAAATCAGTGAACATGAATTTGACAGCTACATGTACATGTAACATGGCTAACGCCCCTTTAAGCTAAAACAAAGCACAAGCAGCAGTCTGTAACACCAAATCCTGAATGAAACATCAACAACGTTTCGTAGTTTATACATCATTGTGCTGGTTCCAGGCTGACTACTTTGTACGGAGTTTAATTACAAGCGGATTCCAGTTTACGTTATGCAACATTCATAAAAAATTAGACATTTTAAATGAAGCATTAACTTTTGACATGATTGATATCCATCAGTAAATATTGGATTTTAGAATTAATATGGATTAGGTAAATGATAAAAGAGTTTTGAAAAAAAAAGGGCACCTCTAAAAATTGCGGAACATAAACAAACATTGCAAAATTGAGTTTTTCCCTTGTTGTTGGAGTAAAAGACCCTGACCAATTCAATTTAAAATTAAGGGATAACATCATTTCATCATTTTTGTCCTAAAAAAGGTTCTAAATTTAAATCCCATCTAGATTAAAACATTTCAAATGGGTTATAATAACCCATTTAAGAGATAATCCAGGTTTCCACGACCTGATAAATGGATATAGTACCCATTTATATGGATCTTCCACAACCTGCTCAAGGGTTTATGTATAATAGATACATGTACATCTGATTAAATATCCTAATGCCTACTTTGAATACATGTAATTATATAATCATGATAATCATTGAACTAAAAAATACATGTAGTTGGATTACTGCAACTAACTGCTGTTGTAATACTTACTGAAAATGGATGTAGCAAGGAGAGCTAATCCGTTATCAGGTATGTTGCAATCAGGGAAAAGTGGTTGTAGTATGTACATAGAAAATATGAGTGCTGATGCTGCTATCCCAACTGGACAAATCAGAATAAAATTGATCCATAAACAACAAAATGCTGGTACTTCTCCAAATGCTCTATATATGTAAATGTATTCACCACCAGATTCTGGTATAGTTGTGCCTAATTCTGCATAACATACAGCACAAAGTGCATTGTAAAGTCCACAAACAATCCACATAACAAATGAAAGTCCTATAGAATCAACTTCTTTAAGTATTCCAACAGGAGATACAAAAATTCCAGATCCTATTATGATGCCTACTATTATTGCCACTCCATTTAGTAGTGTTATTTGCTTTTTTAGTTCAATTTTAACCTCAGGATCCTCATCACCCTCTTTAAGAATTTTACTGGTAACGGTCATGTTTGGATTGTTGTGTGTTTTGTTTACAAACAAGAAAGTTGGTTCTTGATAAATATATTTTGAGTATTTCACCCTCCTTTTCTTTCTTCAATTGTATAAGAAATTTTTTAACAAATGTAACATAAATATAGTCTGATTTATATTATTTTTTTCACTTTTTTCTCACAAATCTATTTCCCCGCTAATCTCCCACGTTGTGATCTGCTTTCAACTGGAAAATAGCTTGTTCCTTGTTCGACTGGGCTTTTCTTCGTTCGCTCGTAATGTGAATGAACGTCGGACAAACTAAGGAACGTTTACGTACTTTCTTGTTCTGTACATGGACTTTATAGAAATATTAATGGTTATAAAACGAGCAAGTTAAATGACCAAAATTTCAGAGAAAACATTAAGTCAGATATTGTATTTCTATCAGAAACTCATACTTTTTCTAATGATGGTTTATACCTTGAAGGATATAAATGTTTTGTAAATTGTAGATCTACTGAAAGTAGTAGAAAAAGAGGGGGTTTAGCTGTATTTGTAAAAAGAACAATAATAGGTGGTGTGAAATTAGTTGATAAATCTCTGAATGACATGCTATGGTTTAAATTAGACCACACCTACTTTGGTCTTAAACGTGATCTTTATATTTGTTTTGTGTACATATCACCCTCTAATTCATCATATACATTAAGAACTGGTATGGATAAAGAAATATTTGAAAAACTTGAGACTGATATTTCTAATTTTAACTCAGTAGGTGAAGTCATGATAATGGGAGATCTGAATGCTCATATTGAATCAAAAGAAATAGATTTTATATGCGATGAACTAAATGACCCTTTGGAAGATTTTCTTCCACCTAACTACATTGCGGATAATGTACAAATTAAACGAAATACTCAAATTCCACAACATACAAATAGCTATGGAAAAAGTATCATAGAAATGTGTACTAGCTCCCAATTACGTATTTTAAATGGACGTACATTAGGAGACTCTATAGGGAAAGTAACTTATCATAGTTACAATGGAACCTCGATAGATGATTATTGTATCTGTAGTTCAACATTCCTATCAAATATAATGAACTTTAGAATTGAAGACTATCATCCAAATAATTCAGATCACTGTCAAATAACCGTAAACATTTTTTGTAGTAATATAATGGGTCCTAAACAGGACATATGTAATCTTCGGAAATTGCCACCAGTCATAAGATGGTCTCCAATACGAGAGCAAAAATTTATTGAAAACTTAAATTATGATAGTTTTTATAATATTTGTACAAAAGCCGAAAAACTGATAGCAAGTGAGAATGCTGATAACAGCACATCAGAAGTGGATGACGTGGTTTCTGATTTTAATCAATTACTAAAGGGAGCAGCAACCCTAGATAACAGATTTGAATCAAAACTGCATAATAAACAAAAAAGAAGGAAAATTAAAAAACCATGGGTTGACAAAGACTGTGATGTTAAATATAGGCATATAAAAGCTCTCTGTAGAACTTTAGGTAGGAATCCTTGGGATTCTAGTTTGAGACTAAAAATTTTTACAGAGAGAAAAAACTTCAACAAGCTTGTACGTAAAAAACATAGGGTCTATAAAAATAAAATACTAAAAAATATACTTGACCTATCGGAGAACAATCCTTCGGAATTTTGGAAATCTGTAAATTTATTAAAGGACAAAGCGAAGGAAGACCCTAGCTCCAATATTTCACATGATGAATGGTTGAAGTACTTTAAAAATTTAATGAATTTTCAACATTGTAATAATTTTGATGAAAACGTTAGTAGTATTGATTGTAATAATGATTGTTTAAATGATAGTATTACTGCGGAGGAGGTGTTAAAGGTTGTAAAAGACTTAAAGTTAAAAAAAAATCTGCTGGTTTTGATGGTATAACAAACGAAATGATTAGAGTGTCATGTGGTAAATTAGTTAAAACATATGTGTTGATTTTTAATTTGATCTTTAAAAGTGGAATCTTTCCTTCTATATGGAGAGAAAACATCATTAAGCCTATATTTAAAGGAGGGTGTTTTAATGATCCTTCCAACTACAGGGGTATAGCTCTTTCTAGCTGTTTAGGTAAATTTTTCTTAAAGATATTATCTACCAGGTTAGAGAACTTCCTTGAAACTAACAATATATTACACAAGGAGCAAATAGGCTTTAGGAAAAATAGCAGAACAAGTGATCACATTTTAACATTAAAAACTCTGATTGACAAGACCTTCAAAAAATCTAAACATCTATACACTTGTTTTGTAGATCTAAGAAAAGCGTTTGACACAATCAATAGAGATGGCCTTTTTCATAAATTACTAAAATATAATATAAAAGGGTCTTTTTTTAATATTTTAAAAGATGTGTACAAAGATGTCTCTTTCTCTGTAAAATTAAAAGAGGGACTAACACAAACATTTCCCTCATGTGTAGGATTAAAACAGGGTTGTATATTAAGCCCTACATTATTTTCATTGTATATAAATGAACTGGTTGAAACGTTTATGACCGGACTATTTGGACTGTGCAGTGTGAAAATAGTTTTAAACAACATTTTATGAATTCAATTGTTTTAATGTATATTCTTGTTTTCCATTTATTTTATTATTCTGAACTTTGTCGTAAATTTAGGCATAAGTGTTTTACACGGATTATGTGTCATAATCTTGGACAAAGGACTTAAATTCATTTACTCTATTCATTTAATTATGTTTTCTCTGTAACAGTTTAGACAATAATTTACTTATACGTGTCGGACATTAATTACTCTTCTATTGTTATTTCTATTTGGCATATGTTAATCATCTTAATCCTTTAATTGCTTGTGCTTATATATATATTGTTATTGTTTGTATGTTACTTTACATTTAGTTTGGAGTTTGTTGTTCGGTCTTGCCGGACTGCTAAAATAAAAGTTTAAGGAGCGAAATATTCCTTCTTGATTTCCATTTAGCCGGAACGCCATTTTACCCGGCTATATCTGGTGTTAGGACATCCGGGCAACGCATCTATCGGATACCTTGTTCTACCTGTGAAGCTGATCCCCCAGCAAACAGAAAAATGGATACGCGGAGAACCAGAAATTTTGGCCGAGACTGGAGATACCAGATGTCTGATCATGGAACTACCTTTCAGACAAGAAATTTTCAACATATGGACAACTACCTATGTAAGTTTTGTGGAAAGACTGTGAACAATCAATTTCATTTTAGACAATGTATAGCAAAAACGTCATTTTGCTATAAGTGCAGAAATTTTGGACATTTCGCCAGAATGTGTAACTTTCACAGACAACCGGACGTGAAAGTAGTTAAAGTTAAATCCAAATCGAAATTACGTCGTGACGCAGAAAGAATGAGAAACTTCAAAGAACAGAAAGCTATGTCAATGTTTCCTTGTGCGGAACTTAATACCATAGAACTGATGGACTTCTTTCCAACCTTACAATATAACAAGGAATTCATAGATAACGTAAGACTCAGGCACGACCGAGTGAATTCCGAGAGAGTTAAATTCAAAATTAAAAGTGTACACTATGAAAAGAAATTTAAAGAATTAAATCAAAAGCATACCAGTGTTGTTAGCAATCTAGAAAAACTTCAAAAACAAGGTGCAGATGATAAAAAAAGATGTGGAAAAATTACGGGAACGCATTACTGATCTTGAAGAAGCTAATTTTCGGATTTACGATCAAAGATGCGAAGCAATCGACCAGCAATACCAATTACAACGCGATAAAGAACATATGCGGGATCGAATCACCAAACTAGAAGACGAATTGGACAATTTTCGGAAAAATACAAGAGAAGATAATCATCCAAACCAAAACTATCGTTACAGAGGACGCCACAACCACAGAAGAAACTTTCGGAACAATTTCAGATGAACAGTAAGACCCGGGTCGTGTCTTCAGGGGCCGCGGGAATATATGACCGGACTATTTGGACTGTGCAGTGTGAAAATAGTTTTAAACAACATTTTATGAATTCAATTGTTTTAATGTATATTCTTGTTTTCCATTTATTTTATTATTCTGAACTTTGTCGTAAATTTAGGCATAAGTGTTTTACACGGATTATGTGTCATAATCTTGGACAAAGGACTTAAATTCATTTACTCTATTCATTTAATTATGTTTTCTCTGTAACAGTTTAGACAATAATTTACTTATACGTGTCGGACATTAATTACTCTTCTAATCTATTGTTATTTCTATTTGGCATATGTTAATCATCTTAATCCTTTAATTGCTTGTGCTTATATATATATTGTTATTGTTTGTATGTTACTTTACATTTAGTTTGGAGTTTGTTGTTCCGTCTTGCCGGACTGCTAAAATAAAAGTTTAAGGAGCGAAATATTCCTTCTTGATTTCCATTTAGCCGGAACGCCATTTTACCCGGCTATACGTTTGACCACAAATGTGATCCAGCATGCCTAGATGATAAACAAGTGTCTTGTCTTCTTTATGCAGACGATCTAGTAGTAATATCAGAATCTGCATCTGGCCTGCAAAATGCTTTAGATAAATTAAATATGTTTTGTGATAAATGGAATCTATCTGTCAATCTTAATAAAACAAAGATTATAATATTCAATAAAACAGGAAAAATTATTAAAAAACACAATTTCTATTATAATGGAAAACTACTAGAGCTGACTGATGAATACAAGTATCTAGGTATAATTTTTAAACCATCTGGATCTTTTACTACAGCAACTGATCAGTTATCTAAAAAGGCTAGCAAAGCTATTTTTTGTATTAGAAAATTATTATATTCTGAAAAGATGAATTTACTACCACATTTAAAGCTTTTTGATTCATGTGTTAAACCTATTTTATTATATAGCAGTGAAGTTTGGGCTACCGTTAGTTTAGTGAAACAAAATACTACCATCGAGTCAAACTATGCAAACTTTAGTCCAAATAAGATTCAAATCAAATTTGCTAAATTTTTATTGGGTGTAAATAAAGGTGCTGTGAACAATGCTGTACTTGCTGAATTAGGATTATTCCCACTTTCATTGTCAGCCCTTAAAAATACAATTAATTTCTGGATTCATATCATTAATATGAATAGCGAGAGTATGGTAAAGAAAGCATACAGTGAAAACTTTAACATGTCTAATGGTTTTTGTAGTAAAATAAAAGTGTTATTAGGTAAACTTGGTTTTCAGCATGTTTGGGAAAATCAAAATACTATGTCAAAGACAAAATTACTTTTTTCAGTTCAGAAGAAATTAGAGGAGGAATTCATAAAATCCTGGA